GGTTAGTTTTAACTTGTAATTTAGGTAAACATTAGGTTTAATGCTATGGCGCTTGTCGTTTAGAGATAGTTCTCATACACTATCTACTGACAAGTTAAGAGTTTATCACTTACTTTTTGAAATGCAGCTTAGTGTAAAATTTTACAAGTCTAGAGGATTCATACAAAGCCTAATAAAGTTAAGGCATAACTGCCGAATTTATAAAAAAAAAAAAAAAAAAAAAGTTCTGATAAAGCAACAACATCAACCATTAGTTCTTCACTACACACTTCAAAGTAAACCTCCTTTATATAACAAAGGAAGTTTAAATGAAAAAAAAGCAAGAATTTCAGAATTCATCCAAATTTTGATTTTTTACCTTGTATATTACTTTTTCTGATGTATAGTGTTACGTTAGAAATTGTTATCCGATAGGTTACTAATTGCTACAGTTATGTATACCTATAAATATACATAATCTGTGCAACAATATAAAGGCAAAGGCACAGAATACATCGCATCTCATAAATATTAGCAAAAACTAATTAAGTGGTTTGCTTGAAGGCAAGAATAAAATTGGAAGATGTATCAGCTTAAAATTAAAAACACCAATGAAATAATAGAGTAAAGAGAAATACTCCCTACAAAACATGTATTTAATTACTTTCACCTTACTTTCAGCTTAGAACTTCATTACTTTAGAATTCTCACATAGAAATATTTATTTCCTTACCTTCTTTGTATTGTTTAGTTATTTTATCGGTCAGATAAAATAGCCGTGTCTTCATACACGTTAAATTTCATTATTTTTCTTAAATAAAACTTATTGAACGTTATCACGTGATCACGTGACAGAAACGTCCATTGTTAACAGTATTGTTAAACTCGTCAATACAACCTTATATATCTTCATATATATTTGAGTTGTGCCTCTTTCGAATAAAGCCTTAATAAATCCTCTTTAATAAAGTCATAGGATTGACTTTACCATTTACCTTCCATATCACCATAGTTATAGTCTTCATACTATAACTTCGTCCCTTGAACTTATTGAAGAGGTTAAGTTCGGGTGTGACAACAGTATCCCCTGGTGGTTGATATGAGTCAATGATATTTTATTATTTTGAACTTACAATAACCTATTTTTTTCAGTAAAAAAATAATTTACAAGATTTGATTTTATTATAAAATTTGATGCGATATGCTCGTACAATATAAAAATGATATAATTTTCTTCACAATGCAATTTAAACAAATTGAACGACTTTTTTAACATGTTTATACCGATATCGATATAAAAAAACAACTATTTTGTGTTCTCTTTCATTGGTTATTACTGATTTCTTCAAGACTTTTTCCCTTCGTCTAAATCCATTAAAGAAAAATAATAGTATTATAATATGTAGCAAGACTAATGATAATCTGAATTAATGTTGCGGACTAAGCTGAAATATTTTGTCTTCACGAAATTATTTTATTCTGGTAAAATATTTCAAACCTTGAAAAGTACTTCACCCACAATACAATAACTATATCTTGTTGCAGGCTAAATTAGTTCGCAATGGTGAAATGTTGAAAAGTAATTTCGCCCGCAACATTAATCCGAATTAAAAAAAAAAACACTTAAAATTTAACATACCTCAGGAAAAAACATTAAAGTTGCAATTGCTGAAATTCCTGAAATAATAGCAAAAACAATAAAAGTGTATCCTCCAAGAGATTGTTGGAGTACCGGAAATATTAGAATGATCAAGAAATTACAGAGCCAGTTTATTCCTAAGCATATCGAACCACCGGAACTTACACAATGTGTTGGCAATACCTCTAAATAATGATAGAAAATTGTAGATTGTTATTATGATAAGAGTTTTATGAAAACTTTGCGAATCTAATAAAAAATTACCTGGTGCAATAAGGAATGCAATTGGACCAATCCCAATAGCAAAAGAAGAAATAAATAACAAAACTATAAAGAGAATATATTAATCTACGTATTCATAGACAAATTCTTTAAATAACACTACTTACCAGCAACAATCACCAAAACATTATCGTGATACAAAGATCCAATTACTACAAAAATCGATGAAACGCACATTCCAATAAATGAAGTAAATAATAAAGGTTTTCGACCTTTCTTATCTACCAAGTAAGTAGAGATTAATGTCATCAACAAGTTAACTATTCCAACTCCAAGAGTTGCATATTTGGCCCCACGACCAAAAATTTGGAGGAATATAGCGGTACTATTTTAAGAATACAAATATTTTAATGAAATAAACTTTGTTTAAAAATATATTTATATATATTGCACACCTGTAAAGAATGATTCCGTTGATACCACACAATTGTTGCACCATATTAAGTCCGACGCAAATTAAAAGCATCCTTCGACAACGTGTGTCTCGTAAAATCTGTATAAACCCTCTGGCATTCTGAATTTTTGGCGTAGCTACTATTTCCACACCTTCAGCAGCAGATGACATGTCGATATTTGAATTTTCGTTTATGACACTTTCCACATGCTTTCCATTAGATTGTGTAGTCTGACCTCCAACAATCTCCCGAAATTCATTTTCAACGTTATACCCATTTCTTAATTTTTGCAAAGCATCCTTTGCTTCTGAAAATCGATTTTGTGAAATCAAATATCTTGGTGATTCAACACATAAGGGTAAAAGTATGAGCTGAATTAATGCGGGGATTGCTGTTAACGTCAATAATATACGCCAACCTGGAACGAATGAAAGCACAAGACCGAGTAATTGTGTTATTAAGATACCAATTACTATGAATAATTGATAAATTGTTCCTATGGCCCCACGTGATTTTATGGTTGCTATTTCACCTATATATGTCTTTCAAAAATTAGCAATTGAAATTTAGTAATAATAATATGTACAAAATAAAACCCTGAAATATTGTATCTTACCGGAGCAGCTACTGATCCAATACCACTTCCAATACCAGTTAGGATGCGACCAGCTACAAACATTAAGGGATGAAGTGCTGTTCCTAGTAACAAGCCGCCGAATATCCAAGTTATGGTATTGAACACCAAAGTATTCCGTCTTCCGTAGAGTGTTTGAAAATGACCTGCAAGAAGGCCTCCAAGAAGGCCTCCAAGCGCATAACTTCCCGTGGCAAAGCCCCTGTTATAAATTAGCTATATATTTAGTTGAGACCGTTAATACTCCTATGCTTTTTTTGAAAGGGTCTAAGTTCGGCTTCTTACCATAAAAAATTGTTCATTGGAAGACAATCCGGTAAATTTGATTTTACACGTGGGTGTTCGGATGTACAATTCCTAATAGTTTGTTCTTGCAAAATGCCATTTTTTTCCATAGAATTAATATCACGTGACAATGGTTCGTTTTCTGTATAAGATTATACAGTATACCAGGAATGTTTGTGACTCCGAGATTCCATCCATTCTCAAGCGATGCAAGAACGGCCACAAAAGCAACAAACAAACAATATGATGGAAAAGAAGCGGCTTTCGAGTCTAGAGATTGTTGTGAAGATGAGTCAATAGAATTCCTACTTAAAGATCGATCACTTTGCGGGTTGCTTAAACTGCGCTGATCAGTATTGTGTGAAAACATATTAAGGCAATTAATAAATGGAACTAAAAAATTCGCGGGCATTAGATTTAAGGATGCTTTATATGTATGTATTATTTCAAAAATGTCAGCTTAACTGCGCTTATTTCTCATTTTTGGAATTTCCAAAGATTGATGTCACATCATTTAATAAAGTGATGAAGAAGCATATTAAATATCAAATAATTTCCTTTATTAGTCAGAATGTGTGGAATTGTATCATTGTTACAGTAACTTGTACAATATAGTAATACAGTAATACAGTATTATTTTATGAAAAGGTGTACCCCAATTGGATTAGAAAAATTAAATCAAAATGTAAAACGTAAGGATGTTATCGGCTTATATATTTGTAAACCTATTAATAAATAGAGCCAAATGTACTGAAAACGGTCGGTGCTAGTAGTACCCTAGCCATGGCGAAAAAAATTCTTAGATCACGTGCCGTAGATCAATTTTTATGGATTTCTATTGGACGCCATATTGATAACCCTAGATAGTCTAGTTCTTA